TTGGAGTACTCCCCATACAAAAATCATGAGCCAAAAATCAAAATTTTTGTATGGGAGGTACCCCAAATTTGCATTGAAATTCCGTGAATCTTTCAGAATGTTATTTTTTTGTGAAAAAATAGCTTGTGCAAAGCTTCAGCTCATTACGATATCATACAGGTATAGCTACCATACAAAATCCACATTTTTAGTGATTTTTTCAGATTTTTGTATGAAAAGTGTGTTGAAGGTTATTTGTATCGCAAAACTAATGCCAGATTCGGTTTTCTCGTGCCAAAAAACCCCCCAATACACATTTTTATCATATAGTTTTGTCGAAAAAAATTTGTTCGAAATGTGTGACGATACGTGTCGACAGAAAATCTTCAAGGCGTTTGAGGCACGTGTTGCCGGTACAGTAGAGTGCTGAAACTTTGCACATATGTTTGTGGGACCAAGTCTAACATATATAGAGTGTGCTGCGATCAAAATTCGAATTTGTGTATATTCGGGACCACCCTAAACAAGGCGTCAATGATTTTGTCCAACTGCTTGCACTCAATCGGCCGTATGGATTCAAAAAGCGTCATCAAAAAGGGACATCACAAGCATGCGCCAATCGCCAAGACCGATTTCCAGCAAACACAAAAAGGCATCGATTTAAAGTATGCTACGATTGCATGCCAAAATGGATCGTTGATTTACCGGACATTATTTAGTTTGGCAAACGTATACTCAGACAAGATTGAGGTATCGTCAACAATTTGAATGGACTCAATGGTGAGGTGGTCAATGAAGCGGATAAAATTGCAGCACAACACTGACAAAACTAAGGTTATGATTTTGACAACACCGTGTTGTAAATGTTGTGAAGTAGCAATGGCATATATTATATGTATTCACAACGACAAAAAATGTTGGCTACTTCACAAAATTTGTTGGAATGTAAGCATTTACAACACGGTGTTGTCAAAATCATAACCTTAGTTTTGTCAGTGAACCAAATCAACAGGATATGGGTCAAAGTTTAGTGTCAAAGATAAATGTTATCTACAAAAATTGGTCAGTAAATCCCGAGAATGCTCAATTGGTTGCTGTTGGTCCACTATTTGAAACACGAGTACGGACAAGATTTCTAATACAGTAGCTTTTTTATATGAAATCTGTCACACTTACGCCCTCACTCTATCTTTTGGCGAACTAAACAGAATAAAGTTTAATATAAAAGTAAAGTCTCTATCAGGATATTTTATACAGCCGGTGCCAAGATCAATAAAACTGTTAATAGAATCTGCCATTTTTACGCAATTTTGCGATGTGATTGCGAGATTAAGAATATAAATAAAATAAATGAACGGAATAAACGAACTTAACAGAACAGAATAATTCGCACGAGTGTATGACAAGTATGTAAGAGAACAATAACATTACGTTTTGTATCTATCTGTCAAATGTCACACTCACACTTATGAGTTTACGTATGGAGATTTTAACAAAATCATTTCTACAAGATCTACACACTCTACACCCGAGGCTTTTTAAGTTAAATTAAAACGCATATAAATTTATGTTTTTTTAAATAAAAATTATCTAATGCTAATTGTGCTAACTTCACTTTCAAAACAAAAAATGAAACAATTTATTAAATTATTTTTCAACAATTTTTGGAATAACATATGCGCTCATTCTCAAACTTGTGAAATAATATCCCATTCTATATATAGATGGCACTGTCTATACGAAGTTCGGCAAACAAAGCATTACGCTTATTGAGCGCAATACACCTCTTGTACGGACAGTTGTTTGACATCGCGATATTGTTGCAGCGAAGAAAATTCTATTCAAAGGTATTTCATTCATTGTAACTAGAGTTTGTTCATTGTTTAATGTCTTCTACTTCTTAATATTTAGGACAAAAACGTGTTTTCTGGGTGTTTTTGGGGCCAAGGAACACGAATCTAGCGTTTTTTTGATGTCCGAATGTATGTGCGTGCCCTGTACCCTGTACGCAAAAATTTGTTAACACGATAACTTTCAACCAAGAAAAGTAATTCAAAATCTGACTTCACAGGATGATTGAGGGTGCCGAGGAATAGAAACCATTGGATTTTAAGCAACTTTGGTTGATAGAGTGACGTGTCATGTCTGGTGTGTTGCCCATGGCCATCCATGGGAAAAATTCAATTTTTCTTCCAAAAGTGATATTTAATGTATACCTAAACACTCAAAAACATGTATTGGAGTGTTTTTGGGTACGAGAAAACCGAATATGACGTTAGTTTTGCGATACAAATATATTTCGACACACTTTTCATACAAAAATTTCAAAAAAATTGGATTTTTGTATGAAAGCCATGCCTGTATGATATCGTAATGAGCTGAAACTTTGCACAGCTTATTTTTTTCACATGAAAATAATATTCCGAGAGTTTGGGATAAGATGCATAATAGAGGTACCTCCTGAACAAAATGTTGGATTTTTTTGCTCAAAAACGAAAATTTTGCATGGAAGGTACCCCTAAATTGTATTGAAATTTCTTCAAACTTTCAGAATGTTAGCTTTTTGTGAAAAAATACCCTGTGCAAAATTTCACGTCATTACGATATCATACAGGCATTGAAAAGTCTATCAAGAATTATTTGTATCGCAAAATTTATATCAGATTCAGTTTTCTCATGAGTTCATATTTACTGTAAAAGATACGTAAAAAATGCATGTAGTGGATCACAGTGCGGAAAAGTTATTTAAAATTTTATTGTGTGTGTTTTCATATTCATATAAATATTACTACGCGCAAAAAATTGAAAAAAAAACTACAATTGGATTTTCAAATTTTGCACAATGGAAAATTGCATAAATCATAATTGAAAGTCCTCAAATTAATACCTTAGTTATAACTTGATAATTGTAAAACAATTTAAAAAATGGATCTTAATAAAACACGCGATGTTTTGTTTAATTTTTTAGCTTTTATGCTACAATACAACTGCACTGCAAGGTTTCGAATTAAAATGTTGTGAGTAGAAATCTCACGTCCATTCTGGGACATTCAATCGTAACAAAATTTGGCACACATTTTTTAAAATATTTTTTTTAAATATTGGTCATGGCAACCTCAGGCATGATTTGTTTTTTTTTTTTTTTTTTTTTTTTTTTTTCAAGCAAAGGCCCAACAAAATTCAGAAATTGAGAAAAAGATTTTCATAACAATATATTGTAGCCGCATATATATTGTCAACGGTTAAAAGCTTTCCAAATCTATAGAGACAGAAATTTAAACCAAACCAACTAAAAAATTAAAATGAATGAAATGAATTTGATAAGAGTGTGTTAATTTAGAAAGCAGGAAAAAATACATAAAAATATGCATAGAAGAAGCAAAATAGTAAAGATCAGGTAAAAGTTCCGTTTAAAAATAAGTCATATCACTGAATAAAAGATAATAGAAGATTGAGAGAGAAAGAATGATAGATACTAGCATACTGATTTTTTTTTTGTCATAAAAAAACTACAGTAATACACACAATTGCTATATTTTGCGCAGTCAGAAGAAACAGAAGAAAAGAGAGAAAATAGCTCTGTTTTCGCGTTACCTTAGTCAATGAGCTCTCTTTTTGCTCAGCTTTTTGTGGTGTGGCTTTATCTTTAGTCACGGGTTTCAACTGAATATCGATAAAACTTTCATTTTCAATAACTTCTCGTTTGAATGATGGTCGACGCAAACTCAGTCTTCGTGGTTGGTCGATCGGAGCTTCTTGATTGTCCTGTATATAATTTGGCGTTGTTTGTTAATTGCGAGGGATTTTCAGGAATTTGATATGTGTACATGTGCGTGTGCGTGTGTATTTGAATAACGTGCAATTTTTAATTTTATTTAATTTTCGTGTACATGAAATTACAATAATGCGTGCATTTATGTAGTCATGTAATACATTTAAATAAAAAAAACATAAAAAATTATTATAACGAAACATCATTCATGATTCCAAAATCAAGATTATACGCATGATTTTTTGATTTAAGATTCATATGGTCGTAACACTTTTTGGGATAAATGCAAAAACAAATTAGAGCATAAAAAAAATACTTGCCTTTTTGCCTTCAAGTTTTTGATCCTCCTGTGTATAACGCACAATGTGAAAAGTGAGAAAATATCACAAAAATTAAACAGTGCATTCAAAATCACAGTGAAAAGAAAAAAAAACAATAACAAAATATTGTACAACCTCTGGAGTAATGAGCACGGGTGGTTTTAACATTGGTTTTACTTGTTCTGCTGGTTCCTCAGGTAATTTACCTTTACCCATCGTTAATCCCTTTTTAGATTCATCAACGACTGAAGTCACCTCCTTCTACACATTTGAAACAATTTACGGTTATTCAAAAAGTATTATCACAAAACAAAATCTCACAAATGATGAAAGTTGTTGTGTATTATAAAAAAAATTAAACAATCATCCAGTGGTATTATTACGAAAAACTAACCTTTGGTAATCCATTTTTGGTTGGTGCATCAGCTTCTGCTGTGCTTTCTATAGCCTGTTCGGATTTCAACTTAGGGTGTTCAACGGCCTTTGTCGCTTTGTTTGGATCAAATTCAGACTCTTGATATACCTCTAAATTAGGACGTTCATAGTCTAGAATTTCAGGTAAATCTTCGTACTTTTTGGCTTTTGGAATCTTAACTTTGGTACGTTTTGGCTCTTCTTTTTTTGGTTCTTCTTTTGGTTTCGCCACTTTTTTCAATTTTGGCAATTCTTCAACTGGCTGAATAACTTCAGGTTTCTACAGTGGTTACGTGTAAGTCATTTGTGAAATTAGATTTTTTTATGTATATATATTTAAGTTAATGCAGTGTACAAAAAAGCGTTACAGTTTAATATTGACATTGGCGGACATAAATGCAGATGCAATTATATCATATTTTTTTTAATCGACCACTGAGTGATACTTATTACTATTATTTTTGTAGGCACTGAAGATAAGACACATTGATCAAATACATATACAATAAGCAAAGACACCAAGATGAACATAGCATTTAGATAATGAAAGCGAAATATATAGACAATAGCCGACAATAGACGAAAGAAATAAGGTAAGAATGCAAATCACATAGACGACATCGATAATAACACGGAAATTAGCACATGAAATGTGCTCACTTTACCTTAATTGAAGCACGACGGCTTTGGTCAAGTGGTTTCAATAGTGGACGCTTTTCAACAACACTGAAGTCTGGTTCGCCGACCTAAACTCAAATACCATTCACGATGATGAAATTGGTTTTTATAATTAATTTCCCGTAAATAGTGAGTTTGGCAATATACTCCGAACAATATGTGCCCCAGCATTCATAAAATACACAACTGGAAACAGAATATAAACTGAGGAAAATACGTACCTTTTTAGAAAGCTTTTCAGCAATGGATGTGCGTCGATCCACTTTATCATCTTTAACAGATGAGCGACGACTATTATCATCTTTGTCCGTTGCCACAGAAGAACGGCGGCTATCGACTTTATCATCTTCAACCGGGACTTTATCATCTTCAGCCTACACATAAATTTTTCACGGATTCCACACATATAATTTATACCAAGTATAGAACATAAGTATATTATTCACACATGAACAAATTGATTGTGTTTAAAAGCTCCGATTCCAACTGAGTCAACCACCATCGAAGTATTAAGCAATTTTGATTTCATGGTAATAGTTTTTATTACTTACATCGAAATGTTTGAGGTCAACCTTCTCCAGTTCCATTCGCTAAAATTGTAGAATATTATAGAAATAAGTTGTAACATATTTTATAAATATATGTATTAATTTGAAGTATCTGAATATATAATATGAAATATTCTTGAGACAATTTACCTCTGGTTCAGTTTTTATTTCGACAACGCCATTTTCAACTTTAGACTCAGGCTCAGGCTCCTTCAAATATTCACATAATTAAACACAAAAAGAGAGTGGAAAGCAAAACACATTATATGCACATGAAGTCGTTTACTTACTTTGGCAGATTCTTTCTTTTTTACAATCTTTGATTTTGGTTTTGTCGGTTCAGTAACATCCTAAAAGTGGTGTCAACAATAAACATATGATTCAATATAGTCACAAGTGTTATTTTAGTTTTATTTTTGTATAATTTTATGTTGTGTTCTGTATTTGAATTGGGGTTATATGTGAATTTTGAATATGGAAGCGGCTATAGATCAAGTGAGGTTCAAATTTGCTTTGTAAAATGCACGTATACCTCAATCAATGGTGTAGTCTCTTCAAAGGATTTTTCTTTTTTGGAACCACGACGAGATGATGGTTTTGAACTTTGCTTCAAATCATATTCATTGACACTATCAACTTTAATGTTATCAGGTTCGTCAATCGATTCAATGGCAGGCTCATCAGTCTTCTTTGGTTTCTTTTCACCGATTGATTTTCGTTTAATTGTAGTTGTTTTTTTGGCTTTCGGCTTTTCTTTTGGTTCGGCTGATTTTTCCTTTTCATCTAAGATTTCTTCTTTTGGTTTCTCAGTGATGGTTTCTTCCTCATCGACCAATTTTATGGCACCAATTTTCTTTTCCTTTGGTTTTTTGTGCCCTTCATCAGTCTCTGAGCTAATTTCCTCGATCTGAATCGCGATGTTTTGTTTTGCAATGAATTTGTGTCGGTGATTTGGTAAGTGTGACGTTAGAAAGTTTTAGTTGGATTTGTTTTGGATAAGGTAAACGTTTTATTTGGTAATGAGCAGAGTTTCTTCTATCAAACAGTTAGTATGAAAAAAAAAATTACCTTTGGTTGAGTGACTTCTTCTCTCTTCTTTTCTTCTTCAATAATTTCCTGTTTTTTCTCTTCTTCATCCTTGATTAACAAAAAGGTAGTACATAAATTAGTCACATTGAAATTTACAAATATACGGTCCACGTTTATCTTATTTTTTTTAATGACAAAAATGTGGGTAAAATACTTCTAATTTACTGTCAAATTACTTCAGGTTCTTTTAAGCATATACAATATGTAACGTGAACATTATTCAAAAACAACTATCTAACAACTAATATCCTAAATAGACTTACTGAGATGACCGTTTTATTTTGCTTAGCTTTTTTAAGCATGACATCGAATGGGCCCTTCTTTTCTTGAGATTTTTCCTCATCTTCTTCTTCTTCTAGCTCGATGGTCTCTTCAATATTTTCTTCTTCTGTCTTCTTCTTTTTGTCATCCACCTTCTTAACGGTTACCGTTGATGAGCACTCATCCATGCCACTGTCATTCTTGATGACGCATTTGTAAACGCCCGAATGTTCGTTTCGTTTGCATCTTGAAATTCGAAGTGTTGCTGTTTTACCATCAAACGATTGTTTCACTGTGCTCGATTCTCTGTAGATTGTAGAATCCTTATACCTATTATTTGTAATTATTTATTAGTAACATTTGCTTATAAAACACATATACATATTATTTTTATTATTTTGCCGTACCAAACAACAGTCGTCTTTTTAAGCGATTTTTTTAATTCAACAGTCAACTCAAGTGTACGAGTCTCTTCTATTGTTTCGTCACGCAAACGTTTTTTGATTTCTGGTACAGTTGGTTTTTCGTCATCTTCAGGTGTTGGAATATCAACCAATTCCACAGTTTGCGAAACGGCTTCCCCTTTTTCGTTTTTGGCGATCATCTGGTACGAACCTTTATCGTTATCATTGACATCGGTGATTTCCAATTGAACAGCAAACTCGCCTTCTTTTAGTTGTTTTACATCAACCTTATGGCGTTTACCCTCCGCTACTTCATTCTTTTCCTTAAACCACGTACATTTTGGTGCAAATTTACTAACCACAACGCATTCAATGACAACAGTTTTCTTTTTAATAATCTTAATGATTTTTGGCTTATCCTTGATAACCGGAATAACTGTAGGGTCAAAGATAAATAATTTTAAATTCAAAAATCATAAAGGCCGTAAACCCTCCGATTCAAAACTTACTTTCAATATTCAGCGTCAAATTGGCATTAAGTTCACCCAAGGAATTTTTGATGTTACATTTGTACAAACCAGAATCTTCGAGATTTGGCTCAGAAAGTTCTAAACGAATTTCATATATATCGTCTGTTTGTTCCAGGTATAATTTAATTTGGTTAGTCTGAGTGATGAGTTGGCCTTCTTTGCTCCATGTTATTTCTGGCGAAGGATTTGCTTTGACTTTGCACTCCATGATGACTAATTTTCCATTATTTTGCGACAAAATGCGTGGTTTCTCGACGAATGTTGGTCCTTCACCCTCTGGTTCTGGTTCGGCTTCAATATTCAGATTCAAATTTGCGTTACTTTCGCCGAATTCGTTTTTTACGTGGCAACGATACGTTCCACCGTCTGCTGTACCTGGATCCTATAAATGAAAAGAATCGACATCCACTTGTAAAAAATTTCACAGAAGAACATTCACTACAAATTACCTTGATCTCAAGGACAAGTTCAAAGATATCTTCTTCGGTTGATGATGACTTGATTTTTATTTTAGATGTTTCTTTTACAACATCTTTTTCACGATACCATGTGATCACTGGCGCCGGTTTGGATTTACAGCGACATTTCATTGTAATAAGTGTACTGGCATCATTCGGTATAATACGAGGCTTTTCAACAAATGATGGTGCGAATCCGTTTGGATCTTCACCACCTAAGTTTACATTCAAAATAATAAAAAAAGATCAGTTTTCATGTATGAAATTTTGTTTATGAAAAAAGTAAGAGCTACTCAGCCGCTTTGCTATTGTTACACAAAAAATATACATGTATTGATATAAAGTATGCAGTAATACAACCATTCGATATTAAATCGTTTCCCATTTCAATTCCACCCTCGAAATCATCGTTATCACTATTGAATCATTTGGTCTTCTTAGAATATATATATATATATTATCTTGAACTAAACAGAATTCTAAGGTGAACGAGACTTTCATATAATACTTTTCACTAGTAAGAAACATCGAATTGGGAAAACATATTAACCTTCATACAAAATTTGATTTTCTGGAAAACTTCTTAGACGGAAATTGTAAAAAACGTATATGTTATTTGCAACAACATAAATGTACTCAGGGCAAAAACATGTTATCAAACCTATGTGATTTTTATGATTATAGTGATATCATTTTGTTTGTTGAATTTGAGTTTTGAATTTTTCATGTGTATTTTTTTCTTTTTCTAGTTGTTTTTTAGTCACTAAGTAATAAAGAGAAGCGAAATGCGAAACGATTTGATGGAATGGAAATAGTTAAAACTGCTAATATTCTAGTGTAAAAGCTATAGCAGGTGAGGCACAAGTGAGCTTAAAATTGTTTGATCAGTACCTTGAAAATTGAGAGCGATATTCGCATTACTTTCACCGTAAGTGTTAAATGCATTGCATCGATAATTTCCGCCATCTTCACGTGTTGGATTTGAAATTTCCAATGTTAAAATATATGAATCTTTTGTTGTGGCCTTTCGTGACATTTTGATACGATTTGAACCGACTACCGACTTTTCACCTTGATACCATATAATGTCTGGCACTGGATGCGCTTCCAGTATACATTCCATAATAAGAATATCACCTTCTTGACGTATTGTCGGCTTTTTTGGAAAGCGTGGTGATTTACCATCGGGAATTCTTTTTGATCGAAGATTGAAATAGATTCAACGGAATATAACAACGGTTAATTAAAATCGCATATTCAGTTTAAAGATAATGAGAGGGAAATAAAGAAAATGAAAATATGTACTTTGGTTTGCCATTTCCTTCGAAATTTAGATTGATCGTTGCTATGCCTTCGCCATGTTTGTTTCGAGCCACAGCACGATATTCGCCCTTGTCACCGGTTATAACCTTTGAGATTTCCAATCGTGCCATATGATACAACTTTTGATCTTCTTCTAATGTAATTATATAGCGACCTCCGGATTTTATCTCTTCCTTACCATGAAACCTTTACATTTGAAATTGATTTCATAGTGGAAGCGAAACATAAAAATGAAAGCAATTAAAGCATATATTTCATTTTATTTCGATAAATATCAAAAATAGTAAAATCTTGCAATTTTTTATTCAGATTGAATTTCATTTCTAACATTTTGTTTTATGCTTTTCTTTATTTCTCGGCAGTAAATAAGACTTTTATGAGTGTGAGAGGAAGAAGTTTGAAGAGAAATTTTTCTCACCACTTCCTATGAGAAAAGCTTGATAAGAAATTTTGTTCCAGTGCTTTTGCAACACACTCAGTGATTCTAAAATTTAAAGTGAAAACTAAACGCAAAAAATGAGCGGTCAATAAAAAAGCATTTTTTTGTTGATATGTTTTCCATTTCCTTTTGTATGGACTTCATTACAGAGTCCAAAATTGACACTGAAGGTAAGCTATCTACACTGAAGTCTACAAAAACACAACGACAAAATATAATATATTATTCATTTACTTCATCTACTAGAGTAAGCTACGAGTCGTTCGTGAAAATTTGTTTTTGTATGGAATGTAAAATTGCAAGAGATCCTAAGATAATTTTTTATTTGAATATTTGTTATGTAATGTTTAGAGTGAATATCCAATGTGATCGTTTACCATTGTATGCTCGGCTTTGGATCACCAACACAACGGCACTCAAAGGTGATTTTTCCCCCGTCATCACTTTGACGTATAATTGGGCGTTCGGTAAATGTGGGCTTGATACCATCATCAGGTACGGGTGCTTCATCGCCTTGACGATTAACAATTCGATGATTGTAGGTTATATAGAAAATTTGGTGGTGAATTTTATTTGCTTCTTTTAATGTTTTAATTAAAATATATTTAGCGTATTGATCGAATTAAAGAAAAAAATATTTGTGTTAGCACGTTAATTTCAGATACTCTCAGTGTGATAGCAATGAATTAGGTTAAGAAGAGAATAATGTGTATAGGAAAATTTAGTTTCATTCTATTTGTTATTTTTAACGATCAATATTTTTCGGTAATAATCCAATATTTGGTCCCACTGAATTGCCATCAATATACGACGTGCTCACATTTTTTTAATGAGATCATTTCATATTAACACAAAAAAGAACTGCAAAAACAACTCAAATTATTGTTATAGAGTCCTAAATGTCAAGATGATAATGCATATTTTCTAATTACGCGACTCACATTAAAATTGGTTTGCATGACTTTTATTGCGAACACAACTTACTGTGTTTTGTTTCGTTATTGCTACTGATTGAATCTGGACGTATTAGTCCCTATTCCATTTTTAATTGGCCATGGTCTATCAATGACCTAGTATTTCATTTTCTCTCACAATCATGTCGAAATATATGAAGAAATATTAATTGATCATGAGAAGTTTTTTCGCGTTGATGAAATCTATTTTCTTCTTATTTTCATTTTCCTTCGATTTTTCTTTGAAGAAAAAATGTTTTAGAGCAAGACTCTAAAGTCATCGCTAATTTTATATTCAGCAACAGTTACTATTTCTCTTGTTTCTGTAATCATATAACACTCATTCTTTTCGTTCCTTCAGAACCAATAAGAAAATAAAATCAGTGGAATCTTCAGTAGTAGTAGTAGTAGTAGTAGTAGTAGTAGTAGTAGTAATAGTAGTAGTAGTAGCAACAACTGAAAAAAAACTTTCGTCTATACTAAAATAACGAAAGCTTGAAATTAAGCAAACGTCTCATGTGCATTAGATATTTTTAGCGGTTCACTTGACTGAACCGTTCAAAAACTGAAGCAAAAACAAACAAAGCAAATGATACAAATAAAATTAATAAAATAGCGACATAAAGTCGTGGTGGCGGTAATGATGACGACGTTTTGATGATGATGATGATTAAGCAAAAGATGAAATATAAGTCAAGTATGAGAACAACAGCAAAAATATCATCACATTATGTTTCAGTTGAAAAAAATAAAATAAATTTATAAAGTATGAAACATTCACAAGGGACTTATTTCATAACAAATTTTGTTTATATTTCAATAAAAATAAATGCAAGATAGAAATTGTTCGCCATTTCGATTTGCAATTGACAAAATGATTCACAAATGATTGGTACATGTGTGGTAATGGTGCTCGCCAGATTAAATATAGTTAAATTTAAGCAAACATTGTTGCAATGCATTCAGTGGTATATTTCTTGACAATAAAGAGTTTAAGGGCTCGTTCACAGTTGACAAAATATTATTTTTAGTATATTTTGTCAGTGGCTGCAAAACATAGCACACATTATATTGTTGCGAGACAAATTGAGTGTATGCTATTCAATGTGTTTAGAAAAGAAAATGTTTTTTGCTAATTATCTACTAGCCCTAAATTAAGAAAACAAAACACACCACAAAAATAAGTGTATTATGATCCTTTTCGATTTTCGTTTGTTGAAAAGAAAATCAAAATTTATATATTCTTTCCATAACCAATTTTTATTTTCTATATTCGATCATATTACTCTATTATACTAGTCATGTGCATTGATATGAGTCGGAGAACGGTGTATGGATGGTGAGACAGTATTCTGAATAGAATGCATTAAAATGCTCAAAAGTATCACTGATGCTCTTTTATATTTGGTATCAGTATTATATTATTGGAAGTATAAATATATAATGTCGCATTCGTATCTAACTTCACATCAATTATATGTACCATTGTTTTGACATTGACAGCTATTGTATCTTAAAGAGCGTCAAAAAATCTATTAAAAACCATCTGTCACAATGAACACAAGTTTACACACAAAAAATTTTTATTACGGTGAAAATGTCGACATTCGTGGTATCAAAAGATCATTTGCGGGAAGTGTTAATTTACTTTTTCCATTTGAAGAAAAACGCATCTGAAGCACATCGTTTACTCACTGAAGCTTATCCTGACTATGCTATAGACTTAAGAATGTGTCAGCGTTGGTTTGCACGCTTCAGAAATGGTGATTTTAATGTCGAAGACAAGGAGCGTGCCGGAAGAGAAAAAAAGTTTGAAGATGAAGAATTGGAGGCATTACTCGATGAAGATCCGTGTCAAACTCAAGAAGAACTTGCAAAATCATTGGGAGTCACTCAAGCAGCCATTTCACAACGTTTGAAAGCAGCAGGATTCATTGAAAAGCATGGAAATTGGGTACCACATGAACTGAAGCCAAGAGACGTGGAATAACGATATTTCACCTGCGAACAGCTGCTTCAAAGACAGAAAAGAAAGGGATTTTTGCATCGTATTGTCACTGGTGATGAAAAGTGGATTCACTACGATAACCCAAAGCAAAAAAAAAGCATATGTGAAGCGCGGCCAACCAGCACCATCGACATCAAAGCAAGATATCCACGGATTTAAGGTAATGCTGTGTATTTGGTGGGATCAACGAGGTGTGGTGTACTATGAGCTGCTGAAACCGAATGAAACCATTGATGGGCCACGCTACCGATTACAATTGAAGCGTTAGAGCCGAGTATTGCGCGAAAAACGGCCAGAATATGAGCAAAGACACGACAAAGTTATTCT